TGACAGGGCAAGGCCGGGTCTGGAGAGCGCGGTCGGCCGAGGCTGGAGCCGGCGGGAAAGGGAGAGCGGGGAACGGGGAGGGGTGCGAAACAACGCGAAGCCGCCAGTCACCTCGGCCTGTTTCCGGACGACATTGTCCGGGCTGAGCAGGTTGCCTAGGAGAAGGTAGAACTGCTGCTGCTCCTGCTCCGCCGCCGCCGCCATGGCTGCCTGAGAGAGAGAGAGAGGCCAGCCGGGCAGGGAGGAGGGAGGCAGGAGGCGGGGTCTCCAGGCCGCGCACCGACCACAGGGAGGCGGAGCCGCCGCCGCCGCCGCGCTTCTGGTGAACTTCTCCCCGCCCCTGCCGGCAACACCGCCCGCCTCCTGCCGACGCCGGGCTGCTGCTGCGGCGCTCCCATTGGGTGCAGGGCGAAACGCGGCCTTGCTCCCATTGGGCCGCGGCCCAGCCGCCTTTGTGATTGGGCAGGAGAGCGCCATTGTGAAGTCACTTCCCTCTCGCCTCCCTTAGTCCGTCTCCCTCTCTCTCCCCCTCCCTTGCGGGTGGGGCGGGAGGAGGGAAGCGGTTTGCTTCATCGAGCTGGGCGCCCATTGGCGGGAGGCCCTGACAGAGGTTCTCTGACTGGGCGGGAAAACAGTCGGGCGGCCAATAAGGAGGGAGTGGGGGGCGGGGGACAGAGTAGGAAAAAGGCGGGAGAGTGTGAGGGGACTTGGCCGGCGGGAAAAGGCCGGCGCGTTGCTCCTGATCTTCGTTGTGCGAAGCGAGCGCGTCGGCTTTGTGTTGTGACCTTACCGCCCCGAGTAGGAAATACTGTGTCCTATAAGCACAGACCCTCCAAGTGCCCCTATTTTTCCAGAAACCGTCGCGGTTTCTGATCTGCCCCGCTTTTCCTTAGGACGTCCCTGTTTTCATCGGAGAGACGCTGGAGGTTATGGTAGGACGTCCCTATTTCCCCTATTTTCATCGGAGAAATGTATACGACTTATGCGACCTCCCCTAGCTAAGGAGACGAGTAACTATACAACCTTTAGAAGACGTCTGAAGTTTTCTAATGTTACGGTTTTACATATGTTGGAAGGCGCCAAGAATGGCTGGGGCCACCCAGTCAGATGGGTGGGGTATAAATAGTAAAAAATATTATCATTCCTATTTTCATCAGAGAAATGTTGCAGGGTATGTAAGCAGCCCCTGACTGGGGGTGAGAAAGAGAATTGAAATGTGGGGAGATGCTACTGGACACACTCCAACTTGCCCCATTTTGGGTACCCTGCGCTGGTAAAGTGCCCGTTTTGCCTATTTACAGTGGTACCTCAGGTTACATACGCTTCAGGTTACAGACTCCGCTAACCCAGAAATAGTACCTCGGGTTAAGAACTTTACCTCAGGATGAGAATAGAAATTGTGCGGCAGCAGCGGGAGGCCCCATTAGCTAAAGTGGTACCTCAGGTTAAGAACAATTTCAGGTTAAGAACAGACCTCTGGAACGAATTAAGTACTTAACCCGAGGTACCACTGTATAGGCCATCATATATATAAATGGCATTAATATTATTAAGATTAATAGGTATGTTTTCCCACCATCTTGATTTGTGGGCCCTGTGATTTTTGTGGGCCTCCTGTCAGCGCCAGCTAGAATAGCCGATAGTCAGGAATGATGGGGGATGTCTGGAAGGCGGCAGATTCCACATTTCGACTTTTCAACACTATGGTTCACATATCATACATGCTTGCATAGGAGCCAGCTCCTAGGCACCAAGGTCCCCTTGGACCCCCCAATAAAATATGTGAGGGGGCCAGCCCTCCCCCCCCCAGTTGATGGGCATTGCCATTCACATGATGTATGTGTGCCGTGTCTTGTGATTATGTAGGGCGGAGCTTACCTGGGCCCTCCAATATTTTATTCTGGTTGGCACCTCTGTGTGCCTGGAGTAACTCCCATTGAACATAATGGGACTTCTGAGTAGACATCTGTAGGACTGCACTGTGATTTTTTGATTATAGGTTGTTGCATGTCATCTTGCTGTGCTCTCGCTCTGTAAATGATCACATAGCTGTCAGAACTGTCTTCCTTACTGCCCATAACCATCTTGCCAGATAGTGAATGTGGCCGAATGTATGTCAAGTAGTCCTCTTGTGAGGTTAAGCATGTTTAAGGTTTTTGCTCCAAGGAAGTCATTGCAGTCAGCTTTGTTAACACATCTCACCCATGAAAGATAGAGCAAATGAATGCTACATATAACGGATGAAGAAAAAACTTCTGCAATTGGGTATTTGTGTGTGTAGGATGAAAATTATAAGAGAACATACTTGGTATGATTGCACAAATATCCTTATTTTTATAATCTGTAAAATGCACAGTGGTGAACACAGAAAGATTGGTATCCCACAAAACTTTGTAGAGTCCCAGACCATTACTGAATATAGAGTTCTGAGAGTTTTATGGAAATTATGTGATCTAGTCTTAGCATTTGATGGTCAATTAAATCACAGTACTGTACATGATTTCATATGATGACGGTATGGTTGTGTCCTAGCCTAGAGCAAGTAATCTTCGAGCACTTCTATGGCAAAAGTAGTTTTTACTTTCTTTTGAGCCATTGAAACAAATTGTTCCCATGTGTAAGATAGCAAGCCTTTCATTACTGTCCTTTGCTTGTCTACTCCAGCACAAGTGCCATAGAATTAAATGGAACCTACTCCCAGGGATGTATGTGTGTGTGTAGGCTTGCAGCCTTTAGCCAGTTACACTGAATCTAGAGTTGCTGTCTCCATGTAATTCCCTATCCCCTCCCAGCTATTCCAAACTCCGTTCAAATTTTGTTTTCAAAAATCAAGGTTATTCCATGGCTGTCTTATTAAGGGTTAAACATGAGGTGCATCATCATTATTGCATCACCACTTTGTCACAATGGTGACAAGTTTTTCAGTCCTGATAACCCCTTTGATTGGAAATGCAGTAAAGTTTGATCATGTTGCTGTTGCTAGTGAGAGTGGCATACAGTATCTGTAAGACCTCCAGTGCTATTATTCTAGAAAAAGAGGTGCCGGAAATTGCCATGAACGCCTCCCTTGTTCTCTTATAATGGCAATGCTGCCCAAGTTCTTCCTGAAAAAAGGACTTGTGAGGAGATTTGTAACTAGCCCTAGCAATATTCTGCTCCAACTCTAGCTTAATTGGCGTCTTTAAATGGTTACAAATCACCACAGCATGGACATAATAAAGGAGCAAAAGTAAAAATAAAAAAAAGCTGCTGGTGGTGGTGCCTGAAGTTTTTTCTACCATGATAGCTGCTACTCAGGTATCAGGTTAAAGGGGGGAAAGTCAAAGATAAAACCTGCACACTTGTTTGAAATGGAATGATACCGGCTTCATAATTTCATGAAAATAATTGGCAAGAAGAAGAAGTGGAGAAATGTTTTGGCACCTTCAATATTATTTGGGTTAGCAAGCTTTAGAGAACCCCAAGGTTTGCAGCAGTTCAAATATATATTTAGGGGGAAAGTCCTAAGGAGGGACTCCCCCCGCCACAAAAACCAAATTGAGGACTGAGTGGATATAGAATGCTGATGGAGTGCTGGAAAAAAACAGGGCAGGGGAATAATGTCCACCAGCCATGGAAAAGTGCATGGCTGGTTGGCATTATTCCTGAGCGGCATCACTCCAGACAGTACCAATTAGTTGCAGGTCTCATTTGTTAATTTCAAATATCAAGCTCATGATAAATATTTTATAAAAAATAATTCAGAGAAATCTATGATGAATGCACAAGCACAGATAACATGGTAAGGAGCTGGGTCTTGCTACAAAACAAAGAAATCCATCAGAATTGCTTTATTCCTCCAAACCCAAGTTTTTAAAAATTACAATATATATCAAAATACAGGCATACAAAGAAAAAAATGAGGGTATTATAAAGCTGTTATAGGAATTCTAAGGTCTTAAATATAGAACAAATGTTGATAATTGCACAAGGTACACACACATACCTAAGTATATAAACCACATGCCGTACAGGGGAGCAATCCAAAAGCAATCCAAAAGGCTCTCCTAAAGATTCTAAATATTTCCTCTGCCTCCTTAATCCCCCTTGCCTGAGACCAGGTAGGCAGATAACAATCAGGGGAAGTTCCTGAAGGGATTCCTTTCCTATATCTATGAACCGTCTTTGTATTAATTGTCATGGCCTGCCCAGATGCTCTGAATTGAGGGATGCCTGATGGGCGTCCTGATTATCTTATCAAATGTTAATGTTTTTTGTAAACTGTCTGGAACTATGTAAAACTTGCTAAATCCTCAGGAGTATCAGGCCTTGGCCTGCCTGAGGCACAGTAACCCCACCTTATGTGTGATGTAATTTCTGGCTGTTTGTGTGTGTGGGGGGGGTGTCCTTCTGCAAGCCAAAATGCAAATCCTTAAAAAGAGATGTTTCTTCTTGGTTCGGGGTCTCTCTTGCCTCCTTGCAAGGAGGGGAGGGAACTCTGTTGCAACAGGAAAATAAAGATCTGCCTTGCTTTCACTGCATCCTGCCTCCATCCATTCATTTCTGACCGATCATGGACTTAGGGCAGGCATGTCCAAAGTCCGTTTTGGGGGCCTAATCCGACCTGCCAGTCGATTTAATCCAGCCCCTGTGGCAGTATGCAGTATATGTCCTGGGGTGGGTTAAACCACAGAGCCTAGGGCTTGCTGATCAGAAGGTCGGCGGTTCGAATCCCCGTGACGGGGTGAGCTTCCGTTGCTCGGTCCCTGCTTCCGCCCACCTAGCAGTTCGAAAGCACATCAAAGTGCAAGTAGATAAATAGGTACCGCTTCGGCGGGAAGGTAAATGGCGTTTCCGTGCGCTGCTCTGGTTTGCCAGAAGCGGCTTTGTCATGCTGGCCACATGACCCGGAAGCTGTACGCTGGCTCCCTTGGCCAATAAAGCGAGATGAGCGCTGCAACCCCAGAGTCGGTCACGGGTTCCTTCACCTAAAATCCTAAAAAAAGCTCAACGACTTTGGTTGGCCCTCACTTCATCAAATCTGGCCCACTTTGAAAAAAGTTTGGGCACCTTAGGGGACTTGGGGAGTTGGGCAGCAAAAGCCAACCACCCCTAATTTTTCTACATCAAAGTAGAAGTACTTTATACATAAAGTATAATCATCACTTTCTATTCATGTATTTAAAATTTGATATATGAATTGTAGAGCTGGAAAAGGTTCAGAAGAGGGTAACCAAAGTTATTATTAAAGGGCTGAAGCACCTCCCCTATGAGAATAGGTTATAATATTTGGAGAGGACGGGCGTGTTAGAGGCATATAGAATTGTGCATAGTGTGCAGAAAGATGATAGAAGTCCCCCCTGCAGTAACACTAGTACGGTACCTGGGGATATCCAATGATGCTGACTCTGGAAGATTCAGCAGACAAAAGGAGGTTCTTCCCCACACAGTACACAAGAATGGCTATGTATTGTCTGCAGTGATAGATGCCATGTACCTCTAAATACCATACTGGTTTCTGGGAATCACAAGTGCTGTTGCGTTTAGATCTTGCTTGTGGTCTTCCCATAGGCATTTGGTTGGCTACTGTGAGAACAGAAGGCTGGGCTTGGATGGGCCTTTGATCTGATCCAGCAGATCTCTTCTGTTCTTATAAGTGCATAAAGAATAATAATTTAAAACCGGACAACATACCGTATTTTTCCGTCTATAAGACTAGTGTTTTTTTCTTTTAAAAAAAAGAGCTTTAAAATATGCCCTCGTCTTATACATGGGTAGTGCAGAGGGCGGTTGGGCAATTGGTAGCAGCCGTGAGCAGGAGATTTTCTGCGGCGGCAGGGCAGGTGAGTGGTGGCAGTGTGAAGGGCTGCTAGCGATTGGCTGCCTCTGTGTCAATAGCGGGTTTGATTGTCAGCGGTGGGTGAGTGATTTTTGGCAATTCCACCCCCCAAAAGCTCAATAACTCTGGGCAATCGTCCGCAAAAAAAAGCTCAACAACTACTCTGTGCTATCTCCCGCCATTTACTTAAATCGGAGTCCCCCAAAATAGGGGGCATCTTATACATACATGGGGGCATCCTATAGACGGAAAACTATGGTAAATAACAACAAAAAGCATTGATAGCAATTGCCAATGGCAACATTCAAACAGCACTCAGCCCAGTAATACTAGAAAATCTAAACCCCTTTGTCTGTCATGCATCCATTATAGGTACATTCGGGAAAATGATGGCAATGCCCAACATAGATTCCTATAACTTTTTTTTCTTCGAACAAGGCGCAAAGGTTCTAATATCGAAAGGGAAATCTTACATCCACGTCTCTAGTCTTCTGGGAAATCAAGTTTTCTTTTAATTCCTGAGACCGCTTTTCTTGTTCCAGGAGAACGGTTCAATTTCTGAGGAGTCTCTGGTTCTGATAGCTGATTTCTTTTCATTGCTGGTGATTGACAGTGACCATCCAAAGGAAGATCTGGTTTGGAATTTTCTTGGGCACCAAGTTGTATTGTACAAGCTAAAATTATTTTTAAAACAACATGTTACAATCACATTTTGAACTTTGGGAAATATAATGTTCTGTAGGCTTGCTTCTTTAAGTTTCATCAGACCCCAGTGTCCAGTGGTGTCCTCCATACCAACAGCTATTTGATCTAGTAGAGCAGGAATGGCCAAACTTGGCCCTCCAGATGTTTTGGGACTACAATTCCCATCATCCCTGACCACTGGTCCTGTGAGCTAGGAATGATGGGAGTTGTAGTCCCAAAACAACTGGAGGGCCAAGTTTGGCCATGCCTGTAGTAGAGTGTTCTCTCAGTGTAACTCCCTGCAACACCCAATGTTCCCCTAACATGAGCTCAAGATAGTCAGGGGGAGCTGTCTGGGAGAGAGGGGAAACTGGCAAAAATTCTCACCGTCCCCATTGTTCTGAGGAAAGCCATCACTGGATCTAAGAATTGTTGTCGGCTCTAAGGACACCACTGGATACAGCACACTGAGTTTCTATTAAATTTAATATACTGTTGACATTACCTGAAATGCTGTCTGAATCAATCATTTTGTCATTTTCTTCCTCCTGGGGCAAAAAGACAATAACACAAGTTGGGGAAGAGGACTAAAAAGAGACCACTGGTTAAGTTGAAGCATTTGTGAAGATATATGGCTAGCATAGGCTAGATCTACACAGCTATTAAAAAACACTATTTACATGCTCTGCAAAAAACCATTGTAAAGCTCACAATTCAAAATATCATTGAGCTGCAATTTCATCTGGTGTTACTGTGTTATAACACATTTATAATGCTGTATTTTGAGTCCATAATCTCCTCTGTATGTTACCATACAACTGAATTTTACAGTATAAAATTGACTTGTTGCTGAACATTAAACAGATAGATATAGTACACACATAAAAGCATAAATAAGCCAAGACTGTAGCACAGGGCTAGCTGACGTAAAACCCTCCAGATGTTTTGAACTACAAATCCCATCATCCTTGACTAGGGATGGGAGAGAAATTCTATTCAGTTTGCATTTAAAGGCCAATCTATCAAATTCTCACTTCCTGAAACATAATACAGTATTACTGTAATTGTGGTAGCTCTTTTTCCAGCTGTCATTAAATTTGCTGTGGCAAAATCCATGTTGTAGGACCTTACATATTAACATTTATATTCATATTAACATTTGTCCATGCAATTCTGAACATGCATACAGTTTAGGGTTGGCCAGTTTTGTTCATGCATATGAAAAACAGATTGTGGGGGATAAATTAATCTGGTTCACTTTGCACATCCCAAAGTGATACACAAACCTAAATGTAGATTTCCTTCAACATTCCCACATATTGAAATCTGCAGTGCAATTCTCCAACAGAAAATGCATACATTGGGGGGGGGATACACACAAATTAATATATTAGTAGAAATAAAGTGCAAAAATGCATTATATTAGGGGAAATGGCTTGCAAAAAATGCTTACATTAGGCAAAATAGAACAAACGCACATGGAAATGTATGGATATTGTGTGGACTTTAATTCTTTAAAAGCAAGCTGATGTACATATGGGGTGAACTGAGATAAGATTTAGAAAAATGAGAAAGTAAAACTAGCAGATTTGAACCCTCCCTTTCCAGCTCTAATCCCAGGAACCTTATTTGGCATCATTTTAGCAACACTGTATACAAGGAAAAGTGCCACTCTCAAAATGTTTCCTGTACTTTATATGAACTGCTTGCATTTAATTTATAAATAAATGGCACTCTCCAGTGCTTAGAAAACTTTAGGTACCGTATTTTTTGCCCTATAGTACACACCTTTCCCCCTCCAAAAATGAAGGGGAAATCTGTGTGCGTCCTATGGGGCGAATGCAGGCTTTCGCTGAAGCTTGGAGAGCGAGAGGGGTCGGTGCGCACTGACCCCTCTCACTCTCCAGGCTTCAGGAAGCTATCAGCAAGCCTGGGGAGCCCGCGGGAGTTCCCGCAGGGCTCCCTAGGCTGCGGATAGCAGCCTGCTGCCCGGAGCGTGGGGCGCGCTGAAGCAGAGCGCCCCGCGCTTCGGGCAGATATCCGCAGCCTGCTGCCCGGAGCGCGGGGCGCGCTGAAGCCGAGCGCCCCGTGCTTCGGGCAGATGTCCTTTTCTCCTCTAAAAACTACGGTAGGTGTGTTTTTAAAAGCTTGGGCTTCCCCCGCCCCAGCCCCGCGGCTGGGGGGGGAAATTCTTTTTTCTTTATTTCCCCCCAAAAAAACTAGGTGCGTCCTATGGGCTGGTGCATCCTATAGGGCGAAAAATACGGTACTTTATCAGTGTTTAACACTGATAACATAATAATTTACATTCAAAGTGAAATAGATTTTCTGTTTGTGTGTGTTTCATATAAACCTGGTAGAAATTTAAGGCAAACTAATAATAAACTTAGTAAGCTTCCAGTTGTGTTGCAAAGCAAATGGTAGATCTACACCTATAGGAAATATTGTACAGTCGTACCTTGGAAGTCGAACAGAATCTGTTCTGGAAGTCTGTTCGACTTACAGAACGTTCGGAAACCAAAGTGCGGCTTCTGATTGGCTGCAGGAAGCTCCTGCAGCCAATCGGAAGCCGTGGAAGCCCTGTCGGACGTCCAGCTTCCAAAAATAGTTGGCAAACTGGAACAGTCACTTCCGGGTTTGTGGCGTTCAGGAGCCAAAATGTTCAAGAATTAAGCTGTTCGAAAACCAAGGTACGACTGGACTGTATTGGGACAATGCAGAACCAAAAGGTTGAGAAGGGTTTTTTATCATTCTTAGAACTGACTGGAAGTCCACTTGGTGGATTTCCCTTAGAAGAAGCATTTGGAAGGCCCTACAACCCAGCAAAATTTGTGTATCATTTTATCATTTATGATCTGGGTCAAAGTTTTGCAATGCCTCCACCTCCCTTTTACCTGTTTCAAAAGTGTGTCCAGATAAATTGCATTCTTCTTGCTTTGTTCATCCAGATCTGACCATGGCGTAAAGTTTTCTGATGGGTGTACAAATAGAGCAAAGCATTCTTCATAATCAGATTTGTTCATCATTTTAATCGAAACCCCGGAGCTCTTCAGAAGGTGTAGACCTTTTTGTTCTCCTTCTCTGTTAAAATAATATGGCCTCGAAGCTTTTATTTCCATGCATATTCCATTGTTTTTTTCCATAAAAGACTTTATCCTGACACTGCATTCATGGCAAGGGGTGTATGACACAAAAAGGTTCAGTTCATAATTTTCTTTGGTTATGTTTTCTGCGATTTGGTCTACAATATAATCTAAAACTAAAACTTCAGCATGCTTGCCATGAGGATCATTGTACGCATAGCCCCATATTTCCCAAACCGGGTTTTCTTCCTTTTTAAAACTAAACAATAGTAATGTTTTTTTGTGTATTTTTGTGTTGTCAAAATCTTCTTGGAAGTCTTCTTTCGGACATAGTTTTTTGAGGAAGAAGGGCATTTCCTCTGACAGTTCTAAGCCAGAAACTTTCAAAAGGCTGTAAAGATAAAAAGGGCATTTAAAATAGAAATGGATCTCTGCTTTTGTCCATCAGAACTACAAGCACCACCCTCAACACATGGCTGGGTAGGGGGGGATTAGTTCTTCATTGGTAAAGGTAAAGGGACCCCTGACCATTAAGTCCAGTCGTGACCGACTCGGGTTGCGGCGCTCATCTCTCTTTATTGGCCTAGGGAGCCGGCATACAGCTTCCGAGTCATGTGGCCAGCATGACTAAGCCGCTTCTGGCGAACCAGAGCAGCGCACGAAAACACTGTATACCTTCCCGCCGGAGTGGTACCTATTTATTTACTTGCACTTTGACGTGCTTTCGAACTGCTAGATTGGCAGAAGCAGGGACCGAGGAACGGGAGCTCACCCCGTCACGGGGATTTGAACCGTGACCTTCTGATCGGCAAGTCTTAGGCTCTGTGGTTTAACCCACAGCGCCACCTGCGTCCCTTACTGACCTTCAAAATGTGTGGGTAGTTGAGAGGCCAACTGACAGTACCCCCATTTACAGAGGCCAGCGGAGAGCCCCCAAAAGTCAGGGAAGGGGCAGGGCTGAGCCAGTCTCACAGCTGTGGCAGGACTGCATTGGACCCTAATTCAGGTCCACTTGTCCCACCCAACCACCTTCCACCATAACTGCAATGAGTGGCAGAGCTGTCGATGCGACTGTGTTTCTGTTGCTCCACAAATCCCCCCTGGTAGGTGGCAGGAGTTGGGACTGCACTCAAAGTGTCCATTCTAACCTGAGAGTCCCATTGAACTAAGAGTGACTTACTACTGAGTAAACATGATTACGGCTGCATTGTAAGAGGTACTTTCTAATAAAGTGCTGGACAGGTACCTGCACTGTATCGTTTTGGATGCCAGCTAGGATGCCAGCTTTTGTTAGGCAAGCCTGCTCAGACATGTAATTTTGTTTTGTGTATTTGTTTTAAAATCAATTTTATTTATATCTTGATAACCTTTATGTCTGGGACATGGGTGGGTGGCGCTGTGGGTTAAACCACAGAGCCTAGGGCTTGCCAATCAGAAGGTCACGGTTCGAATCCCTGTGACAGGGTGAGCTCCCGTTGCTCGGTCCCTGCTCCTGCCAACCTAGCAGTTTGAAAGCACGTCAAAGTGCAAGTAGATAAATAGGTACTGCTTCGGTGGGAAGGTAAACGGCATTTCCGTGTGCTGCTCTGCTTCGCCAGAAGTGGCTTAGTCATGCTGGCCACATGACCCGGAAGCTGTACACCGGCTCCCTCGGCCAATAAAGCGAGATGAGCACCGCAACCCCAGAGTTGTCCGCAACTGGACCTAATGGTCAGAGGTCCCTTTACCTTTACCTAACCTTTATGTCTACAGTGGTACCTTGGTTCTCAAACTTAGTCCATTCCAGAAGTCCATTCCAAAACCAAAGCGTTCCAAAACCAAGGCGCGCTTTCCAATAGAAAGAAATGCAAAACAGATTAATCCATTCCAGACTTTTAAAAACAACCCCTTAAACAGCAATTTAACATGAATTTTACTAACGAGACCATTGATCCATAAAATGATAGCAATAAATAATGTGCTGCATTCACACAAACAATCAGTAGCTGAACTGGGTTCCACACAGTCACAAAAACAAAACAAAAAGAGCTGCAAAAACAAAAATGCAAAATAAATAGCAAAAACAGACAGACCTCAGCGTAAAACTCAAATCGAAAGCATAACACTCAAAAGGGAGCATGTTCGGCTTCTAAAAAAGGTTCACAAACCGGAACACTTACTTCCAGGTTTGCAGTGTATGGGTTCCAAGTCATTTGAGTACCAAGGCGTTTGAGAACCAAGGTACCACTGTACTTGTTTTTAACGTTTGATTTGATGGGCATTTTAAAATGAAGATTCTATATTGTTTTCTGTAAACAGCTTGGAGGTTTTGTTGATTAAGCTGCATATGCATCTTGTTAAATAATAAATAAATTAAAATGTATATGTAAAATTGATCTCAACTAACCACATCCTTTCCTAGCTGGTTTTGGTTATCCAGCTGTCCCGGCTATTGCTTCTATCTATCCTCTCTGTTGGTTATCTTTCCAAACAGAAGACTACTTTTGGGGAAGTGAGAGCAGCACAGAGGCAGCCGCACCCTAAAAAGTATCTCTTTGTGACTCAAATGGTACTGCTCGAACCACAATTCTTAATGTTTAATTAAGCCAAAATGAATTTATAGAGTACCAGAAGAAACGCTGCCATGCGACATGCTAGATGTGTTAACTTCAATATATTCATATAAATTGTGTCTTGCTCATTAGAAAGTGGGAGTTGGGGGGATATAAATGGCAGCAATGTGATTGGCTTGGCTGGCAGAGAGGAAAACCCTCTTTTATGGCCATCTGTGGGGCTAGTTTAGTCTGTGCAGACCATGTTGCTGTTGTTTTGTTGTTGTTGTTGTTAATTGAGCGCTCACTCCCACCAGAGCCACACAATCACTTCCAAAATGCTTCCATGCTATTTGTGCTATTTTGGAACCTGCTTGTTTTGCCTAAGGTTGGAGACAAATGTGGATTTTACCTTTTTTTAAAAGGAGGGATGGACCATTGTGTATTTCTATCTGACGTTTAGAAGACATCTGAAGGCAGCCCTGTATAGGGAAGTTTTTAATGACTGATCCTTTGTTGGAAGCCGCCCAGAGTGGGCAAGGTATACCGTAAATGAACTATTATTATTATTATTATTATTATTATTATTATTATTATTATATTTCTTCAGTCCATCAGTCTTATGTGCAATCTGAAACCTGCACGCACCCCCTACTGAAATCTGTTTTGAATTATGGCTGCCTCTCCTCTCTCCCACGTTCCATTTTTTGACTCAAGTTTATTACTGTCTAGCCTGATTAAGAGTTCTGGAGAACTCTAAAGCCTGCCATCTATTCTGTGACATTTTTGTTGACTTAATAAAATAATTGCCCTCATATGGATTTTAGAATACATCAGCTGTGTTTCCAGAACAACAATGCACAAATACGTTATAAATAGCTTGGTTGGGAGTGAGGACAGCAGATACAATAAAAGTTCTGTCGGCTCTTCTGAAAAGAAAACAAGCGAACAAGTTGAGAAGACAGTCAAATCACATTCCAGACTTGAATCCCCAGCCATACTATTTACACATTACATATTCCACCACATGTAAACTTACGAAAATATGTGCACTTACGTTATTATTTAAGCCAGGTTTTGATGACATTTTTAGAAGCAGCTCTTGAGAAATAGCCATGTTTTTCAGTTTCGGTTTTCCAGGAGATAAAGAAGTAGAACTTTATCCACAATGCCACCTGGTGGCATTTTTAAAAATTGTTAAAGTTTTTTTTCACTGGCTTGGTAGCTTATTTGCTATAAGGGCAGACTTAGCTAAGCCTTGGGCTTGATGTGCCCTGGTAATGTTAAGCAACTAACTCTTTCCCCTTCTAGAGATTTCAAGTCAAGATCTTGCTGCTTCTCTCATGAAGGCTGTTGGTCTCTCCCTATCTGGATACCTTCTCACAGAGGGAGGATCTTAAGCCAGGGACATGTCATGAATATACATGTATTCTCACAATATATAGTGTTTGGGAAGAGAGAATAAATGGAGAGAGGAGAGAATGATCACGGTAGAGTAATTGCTTGCTATTCAGTTCAGTGTGTGCACTGTGGATACCACTTATAAAAACCACCTCCAACTCCTCAAAATATTCTGTCAATGATATTTCTGGAAATTTTTACACATCACTTGGGAAGACATGCAAACTAATGCCAGTGTACTGGAAGAAGCAAAGATCACCAGCGTCAAAGCAATGATTCTTCAACATCAACTTTGTTGGACGGGTCATGTTGTGTGGATGCCTGATTAGCGTCTTCCAAAGCAACTGCTCTATTCTGAACTTAAAAATGGAAAGAGGTTTAAAGACTCTCTCAAGACAAAGCTAAAAGTAGTATAAACACCAACAACTGGGAAACACTGGCCTGTGAGCGCTCCAGTTGGAGAACAGCCTTTACCAAAAGTGTCATGGGCTTTGAAGATGCTCAAACTCAGGACGAAAGGGAGAAACGAGCTAAGAGGAAGGCACATTTGGCAAACCCTCACCATGATCAACCCCGCCTGGAAACCAGTGTCTCCACTGTGAAAGGACATGTGGATCCAGAATCGGCCTCCACAGTCACTTACGGACTCACTGTTAAAACCGTGTTCCTGGAAGACAATCTTACTCGGCTACGAGTGATTGCCGAAGAAGAAGACAGCTGTGAACATTTATGACACTTTCCCTTTCACCTTCCCACCCCCACAGTCATGAATTGATTCAGGACTCACTGATGATAAGCAAACGGGTTATTCAGATTAATTTTTCAGTTCTCCAAATAGGTTTTCATGGCAATATCAACAGTGAGCGATCCTGGCAGAACTATACTGACAACACTAGAATCCAACTGAAAAAACATTGGAGGGGCAGGGGAAATCATCATTTGCAACTCCAGAAATTAAACGATAATTTAAAATTACCTCAATCTGAGTTGGAGAGACTGCAGATACAATCTTGCGTCTTCTCAGGTGGAGTGGGCTGGAGACTTGTGGAGAGGAATACAGTACCTGGTTACGATGACGCTGTCCAATGTGTGCTCAATGTCAGAGCAAGATGGAACTTGTTTTGACGTGGATGGAACTAGCACTGTGTCACCTATGTCTCAAGGATTTTTCACTTCTTTATAAGGCTCACATCTATATGTAATGCCCAATCATGAGAAAGCAAAAAATTCCCTGTACTTTGTCACTGACGTAATTAATGAATCATCTAAGCCAATGCCCTCTGTTTATTCTGGGCAAGACCTTGGTAAGATTACTATTTATATATGTATCATCTTTGATACTATAATTGAGGAGCCACACCTTGTTTACTTTTGATACTTACTTATTGTATGAAACAAAGAGCTAGAACTGGATCCACTAGCTCTATTTTATGGTTACTGTAGAGCAATTTGTACAGTGTTAATGCCTGCAAAGGTCTGTTGCTATCTAATCACAGTGTGTGTGTGTTGGGGGGGGGACAAGATTACGATAGCCTTCTTTAATGTAGTTAGCTTCAAATAGTTTACATATGAAGAAAATTGCATTTGTAAAAAATTTTTAAAAAGCCAGGAGAGATTATTTTAAAAATATTATTTAAAATATTTATATATGGCTTTTCTTTCCATAAAGGATTTACAACAAGGCAGCTAAGCACAGTATAAACTTTATACTAAACATTTTATACAATAATCAAACAACACTAAACATTTTATAGCCATAATCAAACAAAAACAACAACAACAAATTCATCATCATCAACAACAACAACATGGTTTCTTTCAAGGGAAAATTTTTCTCCCTAAAGGATTATGTACTATATTTCTAATCTTATGCAGGTTTCACTTATGTGGTCGCAGCTTTGTGCAGATTGCCATAAAATAAATGTCGAGAGTGAGAGAACAGGAAAAAGCATCCTGCATTCCCATCAGCCATTGGGCGAGTGTTTAGGTGTGGTTGGAGAGTCGATGGAATGTGGAAAGAGCACGGAGGAGATTGCAGAGAGATCAGAGGTCTTCAGAGAGTTTGGAGAAATGCAGGAGAGCCCAGGGAGAGTTGCAGAGGAGGTTGAAGAGTCATTGGAGGGATTTGCGGAGGAGATGGAGAGAGTCCTGGAGTAGTTTTGGAGAGTCATCAGAAGAGGTTGGAGAGTGATTGGACAATGCTGGAGAGAGTTACAGACTGCAAAATTGCCCTAAAGTGTCATCAACAACCATGCCGCCTAACGGTCCTGATTTTACCAGGACATCCTGGGTTTACAGAAGCCGCCCTGGCTTCTGAAAGTTATCCTAGATGCTGTGTTTTGGCCAACACCATCACTGCTGCGCTATGGCCTCCCTGCAGGCAGTGGCGCAGCCCAGGGCCGAGGCTGCTGGCTTTTCCAATGATGCACCTCCGGTGCTCTGAAGCCTTTGCCTCCTCTGCCGCGCCACAGCCTCTGCCTGCAGCTGCAGACCACAGGCCACAGAGGATGGTGGAGAGAGGGAGAGAGATGCCCAAAGTAAGGTACCGGGGACAAGTGGTGGCAATGTTGGGGGGGGGAGCAGGAAAGAGGTGGCAGGGGGTGGGATGGTGTTGTGGGATGCCCCGAATTCCTCTTGGGAAATGCTGGAACATACACATCAACTGCTGAAAACCCAAAGAAGCAAAGAGTGGTTCCCATGATTTTGCTTTGAGTCCAGCATCCGTGTGCCGTCTATGTGTGCAAGAAGGAAATCTGTGGGGCTGCAACAGAGGGCGCATCACTAACTGCAGCCGGCTGCAGGACAAAGCTTGGGTGTCTTTGGTTCAGGTTTGGAACCCTGGAGAACTGCAGCCAGTCATTGTAGACCAGGCTTCCTCAACCTCGGCCCTCCAGAAGTTTTTGGCCTACAACTCCCATGATCCCTAGCTAGCAGGACCAGTGGTCAGGGATGCTGGGAATTGTACTCTCAAAACATCTGGAGGGCCGAAGGTTGAGGAAGCCTGTTGTAGACAGTACTCAGGTAGATGGACCAATAGTCTGACTCAGTATAAGGCAGCCTATGCTCATTTCTACATACATCGGACATACTGGCATGAAGGCATCACACTTGATAGTGTCTTCTACCCAAATGAAGCATCATGTTGAATGTGCTGCTGTGACATCTCATAGAAGATGTTGTAAGAAAAACTGCTCCTTTTCCCTTTCTGGAGCCTGTTAGAGTCCTTAAGTAGGTTCCCTATCAGTAGGAGAAAATAAGAGAGGCCAACCAGAGTATATTGAGAAGCAAAGCAGCTAATAAGCCTGATTTTTATTAAAGGAACAGTTGCAACAGGGTCCCCACTCACCACACGCAGGAAAGAGGAGAACGCTTAACAATGGTGCGTAAGCCCTTATATAGACTTTTGAAATTGCCCATATATCACAGAAGGAGGGGGTCTACAGCAGAAATCCTGTCTGCCAGGATACCTGATGATGGTCACTGATTCCATTACCTGGGCAGCCTGGCTATTCTTTCGTGATGATAAATACTTAAATGATAAAATAAATAGTTCCTGAATCCAGGTCACTGGCTCACCCTATTCATACACAAATACGCCCGTAAGACAGGATTTGTAAATGGAAAAGGCAATGGGAAGGCTTTCCCCATTTGCCTCCTTTACTGCAGAGGAATATTTGAGGTCATTGGGAGAGTCAAAATGGCTTCAGGATTGCTCTCCAATACTATTTCTTTGAAGACGAAGCCTGATGTCAGAGCACACATCAAGGCAGGAGAAAATAACAGCAACAATAACTAAAGGTTTCAAGGTGATGCTCCAAAATAATAATTTATCATTACAACTAAAAGCTCCAGTTGAAGGCTTTGCCTTGCCTTTTTTTTTTTTTTGAACATATATCAAACCATTCATGACGTGTCTCTGTGGATCTTGATTGCAGTTTATCGCAGCTTCACAGTGAGACAATTGAATTGTATAAATGAACATAAAGCAGTTTCAATATGACTACTCCCCTCCCAGCAACAACTTTCACGTTACTAGGAAAAAAGAGACACACTTTTTAAAAAATAAAATAGTTTGATGTGGTTTTAGAACACTAGATGGCACTCTTTGTGTGTTTAAGTTAATACTTCACTCAAATTCTATGGAGAGAAACCGTATGGTGTTTTTTTAAAGCGAAAAGCATATCTATTTGTACCAAACATGCCAAAGAAATAACAAAATATCCTATGGTGCCTAAATTTAACATTTGCAGAGACAAGCAGTTTCTGATCTTTGTCTGCATCAGTCATTTTCAAACTTCTTACCTTCAGAGAACCCTTTCTCTCTGTATCAATTTCCCCCCTGCTGAGAAACCTTTGTGAATCCTTTACTGAATCTTTGCACATTGCAAAGCATATGGGGGTGTATTCTAGAGCCACGGCTGTCCATTTTTCAATCTTTAGAGAAGCTTTTCCACACCGACATGTTTGCCATGGAACTAGAAGATTCTGAGGAGTGTTTAGAGGGCACACACCCTGTTCATGTGGAATATGATTTCAGAGTAAAAGATACGTAAGACTGCATCTTCTGTGCAGTCACACCTGCCAGGCTTCACTACTGCTGCATCTGAACTGATCACGCGTCTTTGGCACATCCAGTAGAGTTTGGATTTGATATCCCGCTTTATCACTACCCGAAGGAGTCTCAAAGCGGCTAACATTCTCCTTTCCCTTCCTTCCCCACAACAAACACTCTGTGAGGTGAGTGAGGCTGAGAGACTTCAGAGAAGTGTGACTAGCCCAAGGTCACCCAGCAGCTGCATGTGGAGGAGCGGGGAAGCAAACCCGGTTCACCAGATTATGAGTCCACCGCTCTTAACCACTACACCAT